TTCAATTTGTGCAAAAGTCTCTTCGATTCTCCCTCTGAGTCACCGAATTGTTGAACTGTTCATGATAGTAAATCCTTAGCAATTTTCGAAATGAGAGTTAAGGAGCACTATTTATCTACCGTTCCATCCATTTTATAGGTATTATAGTACGGAATATGTATTATCTAAGTATTTATATAGCTTTAATAATTTAATCTTTTTGATATTGTTTTTTTTTTATTCATAATTTTTGTTTTGTTCTGCACATAAACCTGTTATAGTAATTATTGTCTTCTGGATTAAGGTCTGCATGAAGAAATTTCTGTTAGAAATAAACAATCTTAACAATAAACAATCTTTGTAATTTAAAGCTCTGAATGGCACTGCAACTGTTATGGACTGGTGTGTAGCTTACCGCCAGACATACAACTTGTTCGGCCCGTCACTTGATGTTTTAAGAAGGAAAACATGATCGTGGGAATAATATTGTCAGAGTCTGAATGACTGAATATACTGTGTACATATGGTGGTCTATGCAACTAATTCCATAACTGGAGAATATAGTTTTTAGAACATAGACTGGAGAAGATTAGGAATTTATGTTCGGTGACTAATTATTGGCTATTATGATGTAAGACAGGTACTCTTCCTACTAACTTTGACAAAAAATAATGGTTTTCATAGTGCCAGAAGACAGAATAAAAAGTACAGTCTTAGGTAGACCCCACAGTTTTCGATGTGGAATCAGCTGTCGATGTTCAAAAAAATAATTCGCTCTTATTGTATAGACTTACTTAAGCTTTTATACTGTGTGATTCCTTTATGCTGTTAGCTGACTGTACATAAACGTTATCTTGCAGAAATCATCAAATAAAATAGTACCCCCTGAACTAGAGACGTGGAGGAAACAAGCAGAGCTGAAACAGAAAGTAGAAACCACGAAATCCAGAGTAACACTGGCAAGGCAGGATCTTAAACAGTTGATGGATAAGATTTCTAATAAAAGTAAGATTAATGTTAAGTAGAGTCAACCAGGGAAAATGTATCTTTGTCATCAATCAAAATCCTTTACAGGGGAGCCTTTTAAAGTTCTGAATTCACTGAAATAAGTATAACTCATCACTTTAGCATTTCTCAGGTTTATTACTTAGCGTATTATAAAATATCCTAGATATCGATTAACTGATCTATGATGATCTATTTGATGATCACTCTATGTGAGTGAGACGGAGAACTTTAAATCGCTCCCCTGTAAATTTGGCAATTTCGACATACGAACTTTACGTAGGAGGAGGCGATATGTCATATTTATTCCCATTATTTCCATGTAATTTTAAACTATTTTTACACCTGACTATTTCTTCCTCATCATATCATTAGAAGTTCATTAACCCCATTTCCAAGATGGACAAATATTTTAGAGTCCATAAATGCAGAACAGGCGATAACAAAACACGACTTACAAGAAAACTTTACGTTATGACAACTGCTGGTTTGGTTGACACTGTTCTCTAAGGCGCCGCGCAAATGTGTGTCCTGTGTTGGATACAAGCAAGCAACAACAGCCAATATTTTATTTTCGTACAATTGCGGTTGCGGCAATCGGCTACAGTTTCCGACCACCGTTACCGGCGACTTTGTCGATTTCATATCATTTGTATGGAAATAGAATATACACTTCTAGTTGCCGGTTATTTGTATCCAACACAAGATACACGTTTGCGCGGCGCCTAAGTAGGCTTAATAATTCTAAAACCACAATTCGTCATAGTAGCATCGGTAAAAGGCGCGTATCTACACTAAACCAACTTTTACAGGAGAGAGATTTAACGTTATTATTTTATTATTTCAATGGCTCCAAAATATTAAATAATCAAATTTTTGCACAGTAAGTATTAACTTATGTTGTCTGCGGACTGTAACAATAGATTTCCGTAAATAAAGCTAATTTGGTTGCCACGACATTTACGCGAATTTGATTTAGCCACTAAATTACCGAAATGGCAACTCATAATGCAATGCTATTTACGCGTAATTGCACTATCCCCGACGAATTGTTTTTTATTAAGACGCAAAATGATTTACAGACGCATTGACTTACAATTATATGGACGTCGGGTCCGCGCTAAAAAGTGTCCGCACTTGTAAGGCGCTAAAATCGTATACAGAGCGCGACACTCCGCTTTAGTCTTCATTTGTTCTATTGACAGCGCGATACTGCGATGACATTACAATTTAAATTTCGAATAGGTTGACTTGGGACATTTTTTTCGTGGTTTTTGTATTAGACCCGTCGTCCATTTATTTGTAAGTCAATGTACAGACGGCAGCAGATCAAACTACACATTGCATATAAATGTAAGCCATACAAATATTTCTCCCAGCCCGGAAATCGAACATGGCAGACCAGTGTGGTAACTGTTCGTCAATGGATAGTTAAATAATAAAAAAAAATCATTGATGTGTTGTCCTGTATTTACTAATATTACTAGTAAAGACAGTATCCAGTAAGATCTTAATATCGGTAATACATTTCTGATAAAATTATTCGTTCGAGACTTAATGTAAAAAAAATTATGATACTTCCAGTATTCCAACGCAACCAGTCCCTCCAGCGAGCTGAAGATCTGCAGCGCCGCGTTATCTTTCTTCAGCAAGTGTGTGATGAACTCAAGAACAAAAAGGAAAACCTCGATGAGACCAGGTCTATTGCAGATTCTCTATGCTCGCGGGATGAGGATACTGACTTACAGGTAATCAGTTAATGTGGTCTCAAGCCTCAGGTATTTGGTGGCCTTGGTAGTTCAGCGGTCAATTGGGCGCTAAATGACAAGGTACCTGGTTCAATTTGGGTAGGACCAATATATGAAAACAATTTCTGGTCTGAGCGTTTTGTCCTTGAGTTAATTTCTTTATAATACAGAGAATTCAAGGCCAGTTAATTTGTGGCATTGTATTTTGAATAGTTCACAGTAGTGACGATTTACAATATATTTTTCTTTCTATTGTCTATCTTTATATATCTTTATGTATCTTTGGTTACGTTTCTTTCTTTATGTATCTTTCTTACAGAATAAACTGGACAAATGCATAGCATCTCTTAAGCGACAGCATTCGCAACCTGGTTTGTCCAATTCCATGTCGAACCCTGTTGCTTCGTCATCTATGCTGTCCAATGGCGAGTCTGAAATTGGTAAGAAGCCTATTTTGATAAAAAACACTGGTATAACCAACTGTATTAACATCACTACAACAAAACATACAACATCATCAAACTGAAATCATTTTAAACTTATTAAACTCTACTGCTCTTTCCTAAGCCAGATTCCCCTGAGAAGCATGAGCAAGAAACTCTAGTGGTTACTCTTTGTAAATATACATTTGAATGCATTTATCATGTACAATATTAATTTCAAAGATCGTAAATCGAGACTACCTTCAGAGCTAAACAGGTCTCTACCACGGATTTTTGACATCCAAGTGCGCAGAAGCGACATATAAAATAGCCTTTAGTATAAAATGTTTGTTTCACTATAGTTTTAAACCTCGTAAATAGCAAATTTTGAATATCAACCAGAATTTTATTATGGAAACATACACATTGTTCTGTAAATGAATTTGCGACTTTTTGAAGACGACTGTCAAGAACAGCTAGTTTATTTTTATATTTCTCATATTATTGTTATCAACCACAGAACAATACGAGTAAATACACTAGAAATGGTTAGTTGTTGCTGCCAACATTACAACAGGCTGACGTGGCAGACTGGCATGGTAACTGTTCGACCATGGAGTCAGTTAAGTCCTGCATGGATCTTATTATGTTGTAATTGATTAGATTATTAGGTATAAATATTATTTTACAAAAATGAATTAATTACATAAACTTAACGCATACAATCATTATATTGACATAATTATTATTGTATTATTTAATAGTTCCTGCATTATTTCACACAACTACATTAACTATGTTACGTAGTACAACAAAACTTGTACTGGATGTTTGTAATTTTTTAAATGTAACATTTATTACTACTTATAACGATTCTTGTGATACAATATATTGTATATAATAATGTAAAGTTTACACGATAATAAATAAACCTAAATCTAATCTAAATCTATTGCGAATAATGTGATTATTATTATTTATCCATCCCTTAATTATCCATTTATAAACGAGAATATGGTATAATGGTTTCATTCTGTATTTTATTTTAATTTTCAAATCGTGTTTTTGCAATTCCACTATTTTGAGTTACGACAATATTTGGTTTCGTGTGCGACATTTAAAGAACTTATAAATTAATTAATAAATTCCACTACATTTGCAGACGTTTTGGTTGAATTTTGAACCACTAAGAAAAGTGTATAACTCATTTCGGTCATTGTTCTTTCCAGAGGAGCAACTGTTAAGCTCAGTTGTGAAAAGCGGCGGGGAAGCACTATGCTCAACGGTGTATACGCGACGCGCTGCCCTCATCCGCGCCTTGGCCGTACTCGTCACTGACAACAAACAAAGCTCCAATGTCAATCAGTACGTTTTCGGATACATTTTGGTGTATGATTTTTTAATGATATCAAGTGACCATTATAGTAGCAGTGCCACTCAAGCTTTAATGAAAAAAATCTAAGGAGTTTCAGTTGAAATTCACTCACACTTCTGGTGCTTTGGTACCCCATCATGCATCTTAGAGACACACGATGTCCCAACGGTGTCATTAAGGCGCAGCTGTGTTTTCATCCACCACTTTTTCAAATATAATTAATTTAAAAAATTACCAGAGTCGTTTGGGACACCGTGTGTTTTTAGGACGCGTAACGGCATACTCGTAGTACAGGGAATTCCCTAGTTTGGAACCGGGCAATTGATGCGGTTATTTATTTATTTAGCTATAGACGAGCAAGTTTCGCTGGTATGTCTACATCACAGTGTTGAAATTTATGTCGTTTGTTTTACTTCACTTTTTTTTAGCACTAGTTCACTCTTTCGTAGCCAGTTATCGAGCTTGTTTTTGAAGGCAGAGACAGCAGAAACACCATCTTCCAGTAGCATGCTCCAATTATGCACCACTCTGTTGCTGAAAAAATTGTGTGCAGCAGGTGTTTCGGAAGATGCACGAACTAGTTTGAGATGGTGGTTGTTATTTAATGGTTTAAAGTTTTATTTTTTTAAGGATGTTTTGTATTGTTGGTAGTCTCGATGAGTTCACTTTAAGACGTCTTTCTTCCAGAATTATCTGCCACATCATTATTTATTTATCTTTTTTCATTTATTTTTGGAAGATTTACAACACATTTTTAACAATAAACATTTGTTAAGTAACAGGTAAAAGTGCTAATTACAAATCTCCACAAGTAGCACAAAAAATAAGTTATTAAGTTTTTAGTCAGCAGAAACTAAAACATTATTATTGAAATGTAACCAACATAATATTATTTTACACATTGAGAAATCACAGACATAAGTGCCAATACACGGAAAAAATATAAAATATTTAACTATACAGGGTGTAATCGTTAAGTGTGCCTTATTCCATAAATACAAAAGATATTAAATGGCTTTAAACTGATATTGAAAGTACGTTACCTAATGAGTAAGTCGACATGAACAACTTTTTAAAAATAAAACTAGAAATATCCAAATATTTAACATTAAACGTTCCCATACATTTAATATGACATTTGTGGAGAGGCTTTAGTTTCCCTGTTGCAAGAAGTAACAATAAGCTATCAGATTACAAAACTGATATTCAATAAAGTAATAAAATTATCTTTTAATTGAATAAAAATATGATGGCATAGTCATTTATTTGGTCAAGTGTGAGTTTCCATAAAAATGAATAAAACTAATCAATTTTTTTGTTGTGCTGATCGATTTACTTTTATGTAAGGATTATTTCATTGTGTGGGGCGAAAAAAATAGGTACAGCAGAATATGGTGAAATTAAATAAAATGTCTTTCATATTAAATTGAATAACATTTTATTTAATTTGACCAACTTCTGCTGTCCCGATACTTTTCCTATACCAGAAATATCCAAAAGTTTAATGTTAAAAAATCTAGTATAATTTAAAAAAGTTATTGATTTCGATTTACTCGTTACGTAACGTACTTTCGATATCAGTTTAAAGCTTTTGATATATCTTATATTTATGGAATAATCGCCTGGGCATACTTAAAGATTACACCCTGTATATAACCCAAGTAACAATCCGGACATCTTAAACGCAGGAAACAAAACAATGAGAGATAGGTAATTAAGTAAAGTTTTGCTTAGAAAACGTCTGTCGAATTGAGCCTACCCTGCTGTTGGACAGATCTGTGTCAATAGACTATTGATTTTGAGTTATACACTTCCGGACACATAATTCGAGCCACCACGCATTTTCAGTAATAAGTGCCCTAAGCTTAAACAATGTTTGATTAATCAAAAACTATTATGCAATTTCGAAACTAGTATACTAAACGTCTTTTCCATAAGTCCTTGTTGGGAATTTGGATTTTCAAAACCGGGGAAAACTTTTTCTACGATGATAACACTATTATTGCATTCTAGCCATTGACCTACTAACAAATGGACGTCGGGTTCGCGTTAAAAATTGTCCGCACCTATAGGGCGTTAAAATCGCATACAGAGCATCAATCGCGCAACAGTCTTTGTTTGTTCGACTGACAACGCGGTTGTCAATCATGCAGTACTATATAATAATAACTTGTAAAAACAGGATTTTGAATCATATTTTCACTAAACAAATATATTGTGTTAACATAATTATCACTTAAAAGTGTTATTTTGTACAGTTGTATAGTATTTAATTTATATATAAATTAACCGTAAATATAAATTACAAAAGCAATAGCTAACTGCCCTTTTTCTATACATTGCATGCGCAAAAGATGGAAAGAGACCTATTACGTCAATTTCAAGAAGCTTATATAAATGTCTTGGTCTTTTTAAATTGTTCGAACCATAAGCGATTGAAATATTTGGAACAAAGAAACTATAGAGTCGTGTTGATTGTAATCTTATTTTTAAAATGACTTTTTATTAAAAGCAATAACTAACAAAATATTGTTGTACTCGTTTTACGACTTGGTATTACCTATCAGAAGTCAGAAAATCATTTGCCCGAAATAACGTTAGCTCGAATTTTCATAATGTCAATTGTTTGGAATTTTACACAACACAAGCTAAAATTAGCTTTGTGAGAAACATCAAAATTACTTGAAAGCGTAACGGTTTTATTATTATATCGGTATTCGGAATTACGGATATTTGAGCTTATGTTCAGTTGGAATATCGGTACATTTCTTATAGTACACGCCTATTTTCACATTTGTAATGTTTGTATGTATGTATCTGCCCAACTCTTTATTATTTCTTGAAGTGAATTTGTACAAAATTCGACATAATAATATACATAAAAATTAATTGATATTTACAATGAAGGCTGCTCCATTACTCTTGTGTTCAAGTAATTTTCAGTCGTAGCTAAATATGTGCATCTTGTTAAGCTTCTTTTTTTGGGCCCTTTAAAGTGTTACAAGATAAGTTAGGCAGTACTGCAATGACGTTACAATTTAGTTTTTAGTTTTTTTTACTTTAGTTTTTTTTATATTTCGTTACATGTCACTACGTTTGTATAGGTTAACTTCGGACATTTTTTTCGTGATCTTTGTATTAGACCCGACGTCCATTTGTTGCTAGGTCAATGATTCTAGCCCTTTACGACAAAACAAGGTGGCTCGAATTATGTGTCCGGGAGTATATTATTATTATTACATTACATTAAAACTTTTTCAGGGTAACCCCGCAGTCAGTACTAACACACACAGCAGCAATGCACTGTCGCCTCGCATTAGAAGCCACTAAGAACAATATACATGTGAAGAAAGTGAGGAAACAACTCGTCACCGCCATCGATCAACTTAACGTAAGTTTGTTATCCTGTAAGTTACAAAAAGGTTTTGAAGAATTTTCGGAATTAAGAATCTGGATTGGAAACGCACTGTCTCCAAAATACAGTTTCCCATAGGAGTCTATACTTCCTTAAAGGGCTTTAGTTGATTTCGCAGAACAGTGAAAGTGTCCAATCAATCTCTTTGGAAAAAATATATACTAAAATATAGGATAAACACTTATTATTATACGGTGTGAAAACACAATTCCTAAAAATTTTCGCGATAGAAAAAAACAAAAACAAACTTACCTCGAAATTTTACAAGAAAACCGCTGTATTCAAAAGATACTTCACATATACCAACGATTTTTTTTATATCAACCGGACTAAATATACATATATAAGCGTATACTATACTATATACATTTTTCAAATGGCTTTAATTTCGTTTCTAAAAAAATAAATTCTGATATGAAGCCAGTGTTCTTGCCGCTCGACACTGAGCAAAATAAACCGTACGGGAAAAAATTAAATTCGAGCTGAGATTCTACATTACTATAGACTGTTAAGGGGGTCACACTTTGTCGACACGGAATTGCATTACGCCGTCCAAGAAAAGCTTGATATCCATGAAATAAGAACGAAAAGACATGTGTTCCTTGTCGGAGTACCCAGCGGAAGCGAAATGAGCGTCTTTTTTGCAATTATGCCATTGAGCTTTTTTAACTCGCTCAAGCTGATTCCACTTCGATACAACTTTTGAAAAAATTTCTGCCGCCAAGCAATAATGTGCGCATATTACTGCGTTCCGGCTTGGGAGTGTAAGGGTGCTGGTAAAACTACAGGCACATGTGACTTATCAACTGTAAACTGGCAACCGGTACTATCTCAATTTTGACAATGTTACAGGGTGAAGAATAAATCGTTTATATATCATCTGGTTTATTAAATAAAAATACGCAGTGTGCATACGTACATGTGTAATAAAAGTATTTAGAAACTAAATATTTTTATTTAATAAATCAGATGCTATAAAAATGACGCAAACGAGTTTTTTCTTCACCTGTAAAGTTGTCAAAATTGAAATAGTACCGATTGCCAGTTCACAGGCGTTATGTCTCAGGTTGACGGGCGCAGTGGCGTTCTATATTTGCGATTTAAAGCTCTGAGTGGCACTGCAACTGTTATGGATAGGCGTGTCGGTTATCACCAGGCGCACGACTTGTTCGTCCTGTGTGTTATATAAGAAACTGAACTTGTTTTCAGTAATTTGATGAATAACGGATCGAGGATGATTCAAAACTGCCTCTGTGGCCGAACGGTTACCATGCCGGACTGCCTGCTTCGATTCCTGGGCCGAGAGAAATATTCGTATGGCCTACATTTATTTCTCTCGTGAGTTTGGGTGTAATTTGTGGTTGTCTATGTGTGTGTTCATGGCACCCGAGACACAGGGTTTCCCTAGTGCGGAGCTATGTTGAGTGTGTGCGTTATTATTATAAAAAAAAAGATACAAGTTCGGCTTTTTGTTCCATAAGCGTGACCCATATTCAGTTGATAGGCGATAGAATATTTATCGACTGCAACCACTAGCTGCATAGTTGCACATTGAATTCTCATTTTACTCCAAAAAAAAAGACAGACTATGCAGCATTATTTTTCTTAAGGATTATACATATCTCTCAAGTAAACTAATTACTATTCATATGTGTTTGGAAACAAAAAAAGTTAACTCACATTTAAAGACACACTTCCCTTGAAATGTCTATCATTGGTGCACTCACCCTACTGCTTGGCGACAGAAATATGTACCATACCTACTGCCGATTCATTGCACTTGGTCCAACTGCGTAGTCCAACTAGATGGACCAAGGGCAAAGTTTTTTGCCCGTGGTTCTACCAGTAGGACTGCGGGCAATGGACATTAGACCTACTGATCGGTTAGTACAGTCACCGTCAATATTAATAATTTTCGTCGCCTTACTTTCTCAAACTCGTATCTTAAAGCACAAAATTACCGAAATGCAACAAATGGATTGTAGATACAAAGGTGTTGCAGGCTGATTTCACACCACATTTCCTTCATATTCACACACTGGCTTTTACCTGTTCTCAAAGTAATGCATCCAAATTAACATCCTTGATAAGAAATTTTAAATAAATAGAAAGTTTTGCCATCTCCTCAATAATCGTTCTTTTTAAGATACGAGTTTGAGAAAGAATTTTTATCATTCATCATCATTCAATCATTTTTATGATTTTTAATCGCAAGATATAATCTTGTAATACCGTGCACTGTTTAATGTATTTTATGAATTATTTTTGTAAGTATCGCTTTTAAGTGAAAATATTATATGGTGCGTGCAGTCTTGAAGAGCGCCGCAGTTCGCTTTAAAACCCAACGTCATATCTATTTAGGAATGGCGACTGATCAGGCTAGCAAACTCGATCTAGGGTAAAATAAGACTATAAATTCTAAGTATTCCAGTTACCAGGGCCACATACCAACCTCGCCTGCACGCGGTGCGCCCTGCACATAGCGAGAGGGGCTCTGGCCGCACTTTAAACAATTCCCAAGGAGGGTTGACTTCAGTCAGGCGGCCGGTCATAAAACACTACGCCAAATCAGTTTACAGCGCGTATTCACATAAAATACGTGTTGTGCCGACCCCACCTAATATGGGATAAGGACAGGAAGAAGAAGATTACTTGCGCCAATTTTTGTAATAAGTTGCCATGGTAGTCTATAATTTATAAACCAATCAAACAATAAAATACCACGGACAAAAAACATTGCCCTTGGTCGAACTAGTTGAACTACGCAGTTGGACCACGGGCAATGACGAATTCTAAAGTAGTTGTACTGCAATCTCTTTCAGAACTGTCTAAATGGAGAATCGTGCGAACTCCTTGTAACGCGCTGCGAGAAAGCGCACACCACAGCTCGCGTAGCCACGTTGAGAGGCTTGTATGACGAACTGGTCTCCCGCAGTGGAGTATTCCAAGCCGAAGGAGGAGACCACAGGAGTGGAGGGCGGTCTTTAATTGCTATTGATAAGGCTATTGTAAGTATTTAAGTATAAGACAGTTGAAAACTCCATTGTATGTATGTAAAACCATGTATCCATAAGAGCACAGGCTTATTAATCTTCTACAGATCGTAACTCTGAAAAAGGTATTTTTTTTATATATCCAGTTGGCGCTAATTAATAGCCTGGAAGTTTATGATTTATATTATGCAAATGGCCGTGGATATTAATTAATTCCTCTTTAATGTGAAATTGACCCCTCCTACGTAAAGTATCGTATGTCGAAATTGCCAAGTTTACAGGGGAGCCTTTTAAAGCTCTGAAATAAGCACAACACGTGACTTTAGCATTTCTCAGTTTTATTCGGCAAAGCTCGTTACTCACATAGAATATTATAAATCCTAGATATTGGTTAGATGATCTTTTAGACGATCACTCTTTCAGTGAATTCAGAACTTTAAAACGCTCCTATGTAAACTTGGTATTTCGACAAACATGGCAGTGTATGTAATTTATAAATTAACGCTACCTCATATGGGTAGATGGAGCTAATCCAACAAAATAAAAGAATCGCCGGTACTAGTCATAAAAATCTGTGCAAACTAAGCACTATCTAGTTGATTTATTCATTATCACTGGAAATTACAGTAGCTTGACAATGTAAAACTTAGTTCCTCGTGATTGAGTTCGTCCAGGGAAGTACTGCCACCTTACCTATTTCTGCCGCCAAGCAATCATGTGAGCATTACTGGGTTCCGGTTTTGAAGGGTCAACTTGTCTCTGGGTGACGGGCGCAGTGGCAGTACCCCTCAGATCTTTGCGATTTAAAGCTCTGAGTGGCACTGCAACTGTTATGGACAGGCGTGTCGCTTACAACCAGGCCCACGACTTGTTCAGCCCGTCACTTGGTATTATTAAATTTAATTTTAAATGTTTCCGCAGGAGTTAAAACGAGAGGAGACAAAGCGAATAATTGCCTCGATATCCGAGACAGAGAATCTCATACAAGCCTCGAGGGACTGCCTTGCCGCAGTCTTCGACCAGTTCGCGCAGCCGCATACGCATAACTACAACAATTATACAAGTACGTATAGATAACAAATTAGACTATATATTTGCCATGATAGCCCATTGGAAGAATGGTTGCTTCTCGATTGACAAGTTCAAACTCAAATAAACTTCCATTTGAAATCATTACATGGATTAGACTACTACTCATCTGTAAGGCGCCCTGAAAATAATGAACAAGAAACTGTGGCGGTTGCTATTTATAAATAAACATTTGTACACATTTATCATTTACAATACTTGTTTCAAAGATCATAGATCGTGACAACTTATAAGAGCTAAATAGGTCACTAGCACTGATTTTTTTTATATAAGTACCGAGAAGCTGAATACACCTTTAGCTTTTTTTTAATTACAATAGTTTTAAATCTTGTGAATGGCTAATTTTGGATATCAACCGGAATCTTATTAAAGAAACGTAGCTATATATTGTATCTTAAATTTGTGACATTGTGAAGACGACTGTCCAGAACAACTAGTTTATTTTTATTAACGTTATGTTTTAGTTTATTATGTTTATTTTTTACTATAGTTGAACCTCGTAAGCGACGAATTTTGAATATTAGCCGGTATCTTATTATAAAAGCGTATACATTACTCCTTTAATGAATTTGGAACTTTCTCAAGACGACTGTCAAGAACAGCTAGTTTATTTTTATTGCCTATATTAATGTTATGTCTACCACTATTCATCAATATATGAAAATTAGAATTATAAGCCCGTTGCTCTTTCTTGAAATGTGGTGTTATAGTTCCCACCAAAGACAACAGCATCCAGATAGTAACGTTTGCTTGGAAATAATTTCAAAAAATATACGCAATCACTCTACAGACATATGTGATATTAATAATAAATTTATTATAGAGATATTAAATAGGATAATAATGCACACACTCAACATAGCCCCGCACTAGGGAAACCCCGTGTCGCGGGTGCCATGGACACTCCCATAGACAACCACAAATTACACCCAAACTCACGAGAGAAATAAATGTAGGTCATACAAATATTTCTCCTTCTCTCTTTTTCTCTGCGTGGCAGTCCGGCTTGGTAACCGTTCGGCCACAGAGGCATTTATATGAAAAAAGTTATGAATCGTATGTTCAACAGTGCAATTAGATCCGCCATCAGAGACGATCACGACTCTACGTCAGTTCTACGAGAGTCGTAAGGATCAACCCCCGCGCAAGGCCAACGTCAGCCTCGATTTGGACGTTTCTGATGTATCTTACGATGCCACTGGTGAGTCATATCTGAAATTATTGAATGAAATTTACAGTTTTTGCAGATAAAAAAAATTGCAATGACAGCAAAGAACAGGTACTTAAGTATGAGAAAATAATGTACTACAGACGACTTTGTTTTATTTTTATACAATATCTAGTAACGGGACGAACAAGTCGTGCGCCTGATGGTAAGCGACACGCCTTCCCATAACAGTTGCAGTGCCACTCAGAGCTTTAAATCTCAAAGATCTGATCTGGCACTGCAACTGGACCCGTCGCCTGAGACATAAGTTGACAAGTCCCATGAGCGCCTATAATTCCCTTCAAAACCGGAACACAGTAATGCTGACTTTAGGGTTTCGCGGCAGAAAGAGGCATGGTGACAGTACTACTATAGACGAACTCTTTAGAAACGCTACTGCTACTAAGAAGTGTTGTTAATTAGCAACTTCCTCCAGACAATCAAGTTATTACAGTCCACAACAAAATACATCGATGGCTTCACAGAATAGTGGCCTATCTCAAAAGCGACCTAATTCAGCAGGATTTACTTTAAATATTTTTATGAACAATTTATTTTTAACGCACATGACACTAAATACTATAAAATAAATAAAGATGCATCCGTATTCTTGGTAATTTGAGGAGTACTGATAGCTGCAGACCGCACTTTAAACAATTTAAAATTTTGATTATTTTTCTATATATATAGGAATGAAACTATTTTTCCGGATTTAAATCGCGTATATTTGTTTTTTCAAACAAACCGACGTTTCGGGCCCTTTACAGGTCCCATGGTCCCATTTCTATATATATTTTAGAAATTTGTAAATTTATTAAACAACGCCTTGACTTTTATACTAACATTGACGAATTGCCCCAACGACACTTAGACCACGCAATAGATTGCTTCTCCCACGATCTCAGCTATACATATACAGCTCAAGTCCCCACTCATTATTGAAAACGAGGAAAAGTATTCACGGTTTGTAAATAAATTAAAATTACATCTTATTAATAAATGCTATTACAATTTAAATGAATACTTTAATGGCAAATAAAAATAATAATATTATAATAAATTTGAATAATAAATAAAACTTAATTATATGCTATAGAGTTATGATATTGTAATCTAATTAAACTCAAACTTTCAAATGACATAATTCTGCTTATTATATGACGTATTTCTTATTATATGACATATTTTTTATTTTACATTATTATTTGATAAATAACAATTCTAATTAATAATTGAAATTTCGGCCTACCCTGCTTTTATTGTTATCCCTAATAAAGGGCTCATATGTGTAGCATCATTTTAATTTTAAGACATGTACCACATGAGTGCAATAAATATATTGGGTATTGACTAAAACTGTCGTAACTCAAAATGGTGGAATTCAGAAAACACGATTTGAATGTTCGAAAATTACTAAACGAGACCACTTTTCAACAAACAGACAAATTTCTATTTTCGTTTATAAATGGCTAAATAAATATTATGTATAAATAAAACTAATCCCATTATTCGCAATAAGATTCATTCAATAATTTATTAGAATGTTTGTGTGGTATGGTGTTTTATGAATTTCACCATTTTTTAGTTATGTCAGTATTTGGTTTTACGTACGATATTGTTACGTTCTTTTCACAGAAAACTGCAACCCGAAACTCGTCGACGAATTCAACATTTATTTGAAGAAATTCAATTTGGAAAAAAACAGGAAACTTGTTTTGGAAAGGTAACAGACAGAGTTTTCGCATTTATAATATTAGTTTGTGTTTTTGAATGAGGAATATTATATTTTATAATAATAATTTATATTACATTTATTTATTTCATAAACTATATAGAAGCATTTTGTAATATTAGTAATAAATTTTAATAAAACTCGATTGCCGACAACAATTTTGTTGCTCGGGCGCTTGCCTATCTATGCTGCTGCTTGAGAGAGTGATTTTCGATTTTATTTTGTTAAAAAGTTCGGACTTTCTTGCAATTATTTGATTTTAAAAATCTTTACTTGCCTCGGCGTTTCGGACGTGTTGCAACGTCCATGGTCACATGACTTTTGAAAGTCCCTTAGAGACCATAGACGTTGCAACATATCTGAACTTAGAAGATTAAACCAACCAGAGAAGCCATCGACGGGTCAACCTCTCTGCCAAAGGTGCCGGCGGTCAAACTACTCAGTTTGACCGCGAAAGAGAATTTTGAAAGAGAATTATATGAGCGTAAAGTCACGCTAGAGTGGTGCCTAATTTCGTAGAGTGCGCACATAGCGACATAACATTTTATTTGTGTACTTGCCTCGTCCTCCGCAAAATGTTTTTGAAATTAGAACTCATTGCGTCTGAAAGGTCGAGGTAATATTTTTTTTCCTGCAAATCAGGCTTTTTGTCGAGACTAATCAAATTTCAGAATGGTAACCCAGTCTTGCTTGACCTAACTATTAACCGACTTCAAAAAAGAGGAGGTTCTCAATTCGACCAATTTTTGTGTATGTTTATTACGCGATAACTTTGCAAACCGATTTTGAAGATTCTTTTTTGTTGGATAGAGGGTACCTCAATATTGGTCCTATTTAAATTTGAAGAAAATTTTCATCTGTAAGGGTGGCAAACTAGGGGATGAATCTGGTTGCGTGCACTTTCCAGTAACCGATTCCAATAAAACTTGGCATATACATAGATGTCATTTCACGAACTTTTGAGGTCGGTTTTTTTTATGATGTTTTTCAAATAATATTTAATCTTTTCCAGTGGCGAGAAAATTTGGATTTTCGAAACCCTTCAGTGTTCAACACAGCGACTGCAAAACCAGTGGCAATGTGACGACATATCGTGCGCATTGTTATGTCCGTCTGAAAGCTTGACATCGAATATTATGAAATTGGTTGGTTTGGTCACGCTCAAGGAAGATTTGGAGGATGTGATTCCTGTTTGTGGGGACGATCTCCAGTGTATTGGTAAGTTATTTATTATATTATTTAACCATAGAGCATACGGTAGAACATAGAGTGTGTAACCGTTCTGAAATATCAAGAAAGTAGAAAGAAATCAAACAGTGGTAAGAAATCTGGAATTAGTTTTAATCAGTTATGGACAGGCGTGTCGCTTACCACCACTTGGGTAATGGAAAAATTTCCATTTTGAAAAAAAAAACAAAAATAAATATTTTCGCAGATGTTTTTTCTCCTTCTTCTTCTTTTAAATGTTATGGCCCATCGAAATAGATAATCGATGATTATGCCAATGTCAAGTTGAGGGATACACACGTTTTTACTCAAAAATTGACCGGTGAATTTCGACAGAATTCACTGAGAGGAGAATCTACAAATATACAACGACAGTAAACGTATACAGCTATTACAGAAACAAATTGTTTTTTTAATAGAAGTTTCTTCTTCTTTTAAATGTTATGGCCCCATCGAAATAATCAATGATTTTGCCAATGTCAAGTAAAAATAACTATGTACGTTTAGTATTATTATAAAAATTATACAAAAAAAAAATGGCGATTTCGCCAATGTCCTGTGAGTTATTGCATTGTCGAAGATTAATTTAATAATTCAATAATTTTCCACATTTTACATTGACACCTGTCAAAAGTTTGAAGTTACTGAACGAAAACAATGGAGCCATTAAAAAGGTTTTTTTTTCGCTATTGTCCAATCATTTTCAATCTCGTTTTTCCGCAACTTGCTTTTACAAATACAATTTAATTTTATAATTCACGCTAAATAAAACTTCAAAGATATGTCTAAACGTAGAACATAAGGTGAGCCTTCGAAATTATATTTTTGCTATTTTTCTTGAATTTTATCGGAAAAAATGTCCACTATTTGAAATTTCTGGAAAAATTTCCACTGAAATTTTTCGGAACATTACCCATTACCATATTAACAGAACTTGGTAGCATAAAAAATACATAGGTGATAATTTAGTGAATAACCACGAATCTAAAACGAGATCTGTAGTCTCGGCTTACCCCAGTGGTCGACAATGCGCAGTTCTAATGTGTAAGACATTATAAATATAAAATGGGTGTCGATAGCCGAAAACTCTATGCAAAGGTCTATAACATACACATAGAAGAAATTCTTCGACTTAGTAAACTCTGTAGCTTAGTTGATAAAGCACTGGGGACTTTTTCTTTGTGTTCGATTTTTGTATTTAATAATTGTAAAAAAATAGTTATTTAAAATTTTGTACAATCCTATTTATTGTTATCTATTCTCATAGACATAACGCCACAAATCGAAGAAGATGCAAAACTCAACGACGTTACTAAAAAACGTCTACACGAATGTCTATTGGATATTCAGAAGACGAAGAAAACCCTCGACGGCGTGACGACAAACATCGAAATTTGGTCGGACAACAAATTTAGGAAATACATATCGACTCAAAGGACTGTACAAGGACTTACTTATAAGGAATATGAAAGTTATTATTTGGAAAATTGTTTGCAAGTGTGATTAATAAATTTCGTTATTAAAATTGTGTAGTCTGTGTATTTGCAACCAAATTTGACTGATATAGTACATTATTCCACTGGTCGAAAAGTAAGGGATGGTATTAATACGAGTCAAGCAGTCTCCGATCCCGCCGACGCTTATATAGTGATTTTCTCAAACAATGCGAGGAAATAATAGAAGTCTAAAGAGGAGATGTATAATAGAAAAAAGTAAAAAAAATGTTAATTAAAATTAAATGTAATATTTGACATAGTTTTTCCACGCGCATTTGATAGCTGCTGCTGAACCTCTGATGACGCGGTTAATGTGTATCCATTACTGTATTTTCATTATCGCTCTTCTCACTAGAACTATTTTCGCGATTAACATAGAAAAAGGCCAAAAAGAAACGGAAAAGAATACCAAAGCATTTTAGTTAAAAAAAAGTTCCTGTACACGGAGGTACTTCTAAATCTCGCAGTTACAAAGGTGGACAGTGGGCTGTATGAGTTTTTCTTTTGCTTTTTTACATAGTTCATTATTAGACTAAAGGATGGAAATTAGTAGGTAGATTTAAAAGCATAAAGAAGTGGACAGTAATGGATTTTCATACTTTGCAGGCCTTGGCCGGGAAGTAATCGCATGGTCCTTAAATAACAAACTTTCCGTGTTCGTATTAGACTTTAAATTTACTTATTTTTAGGTTTTATATGATCGAGTAAAGTACATCCGATCATATGCCTATCGTGTAACAAATTACAACATTCTTTTATGACAATATTTTTTTTAAATATATAATACACACGCTTGGCCACAATCACGCCTGCAGCTTGATTGTGATTGTCTCTCCCGATCGGAAACTTTTTTTTGTTTTCAAACATCGGAGATCGAGACAACCTCCATGAGCTAAACGGGTTACCAAGGATTTTTGTTATCCAAGTACGCAGAAGTTGTATAATAAATCTTTAATATAAAGTTTTTGTTTCATTATAGTTTTAAACCTCGTGAATGGCAAATTTTGTATACCAACCGGAGTCTTGTTATAGAAGCGTTTGCTCTTAAACGAATTTGTGACTTTGTGAAGACGACTATAATTTATTTTTATTCCTCGTATTAATGTTACGTCTGTCACTATTTTTCATAAATAAATTACTATTCCTCTTAACATAAATTACATTTTCATAGTTGTACTGTGACGCTAGTGTAAGAATCTTAATTTTCCTGGGCCCCAAAACGTAACATATATGTGTCCACACAGACATATATCTAGATAGACGCCCGCAAGCATACGTACTTCGCGTGCGCAAAGTAAGTGAAATTCACTTGCCGCTGCTACACTTCAGAACGCGCGCAACTGTTATCATATTATATAAACACCAGTCGAAAACGCGAGAAATGTATAATTGTGCCATTATAAACTGCAAAGGCACCGTAACTGTGGGTAAACGGGTAAACAGGGACTTTTTCTTCCAAGTGATTTTGTAACCAGAAGATGCATAATTTATTTTATAAACAATTATGTTGGTTTTGTATGAATTTCGAGAAAAAAAATTTGCAACCTAGTGTATGCCTCATATTTGTAATCCATTGCGGCTTTTAAATATTCTATAACTCTTTTGTTATAACGTTTAGTAACGTTTGGTTATTTTTCAGTTTTGTAGTATCTATAATCAGTAGTATCTGTAATTTCGATAATTTTTGCAGCACTTTGCCTCGAATGTCCGAATATAGTGAGCAAATAATTGCATACATCGTCGGGTACGTAGTACCAGTAATACAAAAAATATATAAGGCAGAGAATTAACAGTGCGCTGTCTTTACAAAAACCTCGAGTTGGGCATACGTATGAGTTCGTTGCTTTCGAGGACGAAGGTGGTCTAGTTTATCCTACCTAAGATGCTATCCAAATATGCAGATTAGCAGAGTTAGAAATCCGAGAAATAATAAACAAATCACAAAAATTTCACACGTGGCCGTCATTAAGTAAACCTCTACTGACTAATACGATTTTAACATATTTTGTCAGCAGTAACATTTTCATTTGTCGTGCCATTCATCAATTTAATTAATTAAAAATTGTTTGTTTTGACGTTATTTGGAAATGTAAAAATTAAACACTAAACTAAGTATAGGTTAAAAATGTTCAATGTACATTTATAGCTATGGAAGAGCGGTACCAACTGATACGGGCTTGATAAGCTTAATTGGAGGTACGAGTACCATCCACTGTTAATGTAAAGTAAATGAATAATATATACTGAAATAAATATTTTTTTATTATTATTTTTATGATTACCAACAGAGACCATCTAGTAAAATTAATTAAGGCACTGACAAGTTCATATATTGATATGCGTTTTCATTATTTAAGTTAATCGATAAGATTTTCTATTACAAAAAGATGTTATATAATAAGCTCATTTTATTGGAAGGACAATAATTTTAATATTTGAAATCGATTAAATATTAAAGTCTTAATTTTTTAAAGTAATCAAATTTTTTTTAAAACAAGAAAATAAAAGATAACTGTCTCATTCTATTATTTTTCTACTGTATTATAATTACGACTGCTTGTAATCAACAAATACTTGAACAAAATATATTCTATTTAGAATCGATTAATTGAATGGAATACGCGTGTTTACGCGAATTCCATTCAATTAATCAATCGGTTTAGAGCGAGCGGAAAGAGGTTTCCATCACTAAATAGTTCTTGTGACGTCATAGTGGGTCCAAAAAAGAGTGGCACGCTTGGTTTTCAATTTTTCATACAAATTGATGTACTTGCGGCGTCTATCTAGATATAATATGTCTGTGGTTGTGCAGGACGAAAGATTGTATTGATATCGGCGACATTACCCCAAAGCAAAATGCTGTATGTCATTAGACTGTGAAAGTAGCTGAAGTAAACCGATCTAGCGGTTTCGACGTCTGAAAGTATCCGTATATTTTTAATCGCGTACACTGCAGAGCGGAGCGGTTTTGATAACGAGTATATCATCATCGCATCGAGTATATATAAATAGTTATATAACCAGAAATAGAGATGAAATAAGGTCCATCCATTCCTGACAACTCACATATACAATAACACTTTTAAATATCAACTCTCGTTTACGCTCAAATCAGAAAACTGAAATAGTACAACGTCAACAACTGACTTGTGTGTACGTCTCCGTGTATTCTAAAAATATTCTGTATTTATTGTAATAAAAAGATAATATCTTTAACAATGTTGACTGTTCCATTCAGTGGTGTGGGAAAAACAGCTAAACATCTATAACAAAACAAAGGGAATCACATTTCATGGGTAATTAAATATGTAATTTTCCTTAGAATAATAACGCATAGAATGATAGTTTCATATCAAACGAACAATTAAGGCAAAAATCAAATTCATGTAAGCTAGTTTTAGTAGTGGGTTAATTTTTGGTTTTAGTGAATATATATATAGAAATACAAGTTGAAACGCGTTACTTCCTTGTGGAATATGATGTTAGTATCTATTTTATGTCTGTCTGACGTATTTTACACTCATTTACCGCACATTTTGTCATTTTTAGCTAAAATTCTTGATCTGTTCGCGGTGCAAGTTGACCTTGAGCACTGAATGCCCGCCCGCTCGTGTGGGCCCATTGGGCGCGCTTAAATTTGCCTCACTTAGCGTGTGCGGACCCTAGTCCGCACACGCTAAGTGAGAAAGTAAGAAACCTATTTCTATGCGTTATTATTCTAAGTAATTTTCAAGCATTATAACAATGCTCAAGTTAAACTGGTCGAATTGTAATGAAACAATTTACGACACTCGTCGATTGTTTCGAATTCGGGCTGGCCAATCGGAGCGCAGTTGTTACAGTAATGATTTGGCAGAATAATTTTCAAACAAATTAAATGACATTTCGTGTATATTTCTGGTTATATACTCGATGAGCAGGACACAGTAAAGCTACACCTATTTTGTATAATGTTAGATTCTATACAACCTGTGTTTTAACAAATAAATGAATTATTTTGAAAAAGTATAATCAATGGTTTAATTGGCAACAGTGTGCCGGAAAGAAAAAAATAGAATATCAATTGGTCTGTGTTATGTTTAGTACATGGTCAAGGGCGCGTCAAGCAAGCTTGAATTTTAACTCTGCGCCGCCGTTTCAGTACAAGGTGCACATTGTGTATAATGATTATTACAATTTATTTTCCATTATGCATAGATGTAACTAACTGCATGTACCAGAAAATATTAAATTAATTATCATTGTATCGGATACCCAGCCACAAGTATTATTAATAATAATAGACATATATGTATGTATTACACCTAAGTATTACACCTTGAAAATAAACCATAATCGCTTACATACAAATACTTGAGCGCCATCTGTCGGAATCCTGTTCTGTTCGCAAACTCGACCGTATTCTGTTCGCAAAGTCAACAAGTAGTTTTCAATTTAGTTCCTTTAAAATGCACTAGATGACGCTAAAATAAACTAACTTCATTGGAGTGTAACCAATTACTGGCAAGATTAGACAAACCTGCACAAACCCTTGCCCTTGCTTTTACCTACATTGATTGAGGCAATAGCTATATAAAACATAGTTTAAATAGGTAAGGCCTGAATTTCGCACAGGCGGGCATTCCAGCAGGCTAGTTTCTTTCATGTTAGACCAAACAGATACTTTATATATTGGTTAAAATACAGAAAATAACATTACTAGATATTTCTAAAGGTAAACAAAAACACATTATACCACCAGGATACCTATTCTTTTTGGAGTATTTGAAACTGCGTTTATTAATTTAATTTATGGTTTAACTTTGCTCCACAAAATTGTGCTAAGTGCCTACATAAATAAAACAATATAGGTATGTAGGGTATGAAGAATGAGCGCTGGTTGACAACTTTATCAAGCTTACAAAATATGAAATTAAATTTTCTCTACATACGGACAACAGAAACGTCAATCATGGGCTTTGTCAGCTTTTGTAACTTATTTATTTAACTCTATATTTATTTAACGCATTGGAAGGCATAATAAATTTATTATTTTAGGAATATATTTTATTGAGAATCTGGTCTCGACTTGGGGACTTGTCAATTGTGACAAGTCGCCATTATTGTGTAAAATAATTCATACAAACATAACACAGAG